AATTACAGTAAGAAGGTATAGAGGTACAGTTAACACATATACAATTGGAAACTATGGTAGTGCTAACTGGTAGATCTAACTGAATATCACGAGTAAGAGTTCTGGGAGTTTCAGTAATATTTATTCCTGATATATTAGTAAATATTGGAAGAGGAAGTCCTATTCCTATCAGATTTTTCTTCAACAATCCACTGATAGAAGAGTCTCCCGCTACACAAAAGGAGGACTTGTTTAGCCCTAGGTTCGCTAATTGCTGCCACATATTAGGCTGTAAGAACTTATTTTTAAGAGAGAGTAATATATTTAGGAAAATAAAACTACTCTTGTATAACTTATCAGGAGTTCCTTTCTGTACTTTTTCACAGGAATAATTACCAATATCATTTTGAGTCAAAACTGTCTTATATATGTCATAACGGATATTACTCCTTCTAGACTGATCAGTTGCATTATACCATCCAAATTTTCCTCCATCTTTTTGCCTATAAATTTCTTCTCCATAGCGGATCGTCCATCATCCTTTAGAAGATCAAAATTAAGAACGTGCAAAGCATGCATTAGCCATTGTTTTGCAGTTAGTTTGATCATGTCAGGTAGCACTCCCCCTTTTTGTTTTAGCAAATAATGCTTTAATGTAAGGTGACAGCATTCCACTAAAGCTTGTCTTGTAGAATTATAGGGAATACCTGTTTTGCTGAAATCTAGTTCTTTACTAGGTTAGGAGTAATTAAACAGTGATTATAAATGACAAAAGATTTACAAATGACAGTGGTTAGAGATCTGATGAGAACTTACTGTAAGACAGTTGATATGTGGAAGTTTGGATATTTCTCTAACATAAAACATTCAGTAATAAAGTTTAGCATTATTCCTTTTGACAGTGCTTTCCAGGTAAAAATGTATCAGGTAAATAAGCTAAATTAGCTAAATATTTTCTCTGATGAGGAGAGGAAATTCTTCTGACATGTTCCAGGGGCCCTCTGGAAAATATCAGAGTTAACTAGAGGTAAAAGTACTTTTTTAAATTTGGTCTTGGGAAGCTGTCAAAAGTTTTTAAGGCACTTGCCTAAATAGAATTATAGTTATTGAATAACACTTATTGTTTAACCAGAATGATAATAAGAATGTTTAAAAGCAAATACAGAGGGTTACATAGTTGTTAACAACGCTTAGTTTACAGTTCTTTTGATATTAAGATCTTATTTTCTTAAGCATTCAATAAACAGCTGTATTTAAGAACAAGTTTTTAATACAATGCATTTCTATTCCTTATACCTTCTCTTATTAAAACATACATTCTTTAGCATACAGAAATGTTTTCCTTATTATATTAGGTAGTTTTAATTAGAACTTAAAACCATTTGGTACTGTAACCTTCAGTGAACACTAAAAAATAGGCCATTGTAAACTGTTACACCAGCATTCTTCAGATTGATACATTTATGAACATATTTTATCATTTTTGGAAATGTGACTTACAGCACAATTTCTCATTAAGCACAAAATGTGTCTATATAATTTAGCAAAACTTTAAGAATTTTGGTTACCACAAAAATTCTCAGGCTGTTTGCAGATATATACACTGTTACACATTAACAGTATTATTAAGATGTTCATCTGCTACACTTGTTTACTTATTTTTAGCAACCATGCTAGATTACTTATAAGACATTTATCAAACATTAGACAAAGTCAAGCTTTTCTTTAAGCATCTTCTTGAATTGTTTAACAGGTAACATCAACTTAAATGACTTTAAGTAAACTTTGGCAGCTAATAACTATAAGGACATGTCCGTTTCACTTAAATTAGCATTAATGCTTAATATTTTTTATTAGATTTTCTGGAAGTTTTAGAATGCTCAATGTTCACAAGCACTTGTCTTTAAATCAATTTTTATTAATACCATCCGGAGGTAGAAAAGATTTTTCATTTACACACTTAGACACACAAACATACAGACTGAGACATAATGACTATAGTTAGCAACACTTTTCATATAAAAACATGTACACAGATAAACTGATACAAAAATTTGAGTTACTAATATTTAATTGTCTTCTTTCTTTTTAGCTTACTTGATTAAAAGTACTTCAGTTTTCAAGAATACACTTTAAGGGCAAGCAGTTTACATAACTGGGTTAAGGTTTAGAGGGCCCGAGACCAAAAGAGCCGATGAAGGCTCTGAACTGATATGGACTGTGTGAGTCCAGGGGGCTGGAAATGAAATGCAAGTACAATTCAAGCACCAGTTATTTAAAGCTATTGACTATTTTCTTTTCTTGTGGCAAAATATATTTAGCTGCATAACATTACATTGCATACTTCTCTCAGGGGCCAAGCCTCTTTAATCAGAGTGTTTGTATTGAGGCCAGGTTTGTGTGCAGAAGATAAGACACTTCTTTCTTAGAGTTTAGGGATTGAATTACTCTCAGTTAGTTTTCCTAGTTTTTTCTGCCTGAGCTTTAGTCATTCCTTGAGAGGCCCCTGCCTGTCTGATAAGTGCAGGGACTGTGTGACTTTTCGCTGCTAGAGTCTTTATCTGAGTCACAGGCTTGTTTGGCTTCCCTGGGGCTGCAGACAAGGGAATGCTTAGCTCTAGGATTATTAAGATCTGAGGGCTCTTTTGAAAGTATTGAAGAGATGTTGCAGTTTATAAGTAGGAATATTTAGTAACAGTGGGATCCAGTTGATATCTCCTAATAATTTTGAAAATCATTTAAAGTTTCAAGATGATCTCTCTTTATCTGAATTTTCTGAGGGATCATTGAATTTTCTTGAATTTTATTCCGTAATAATTCATTGGATATTGTATTTGTATTTTATCCGGGGCTATTGATCTACCCAAACAGGTGTCTGAGTGGTCTACAAGTGAAGCACTTCAAACGTTTTGTTTCCTTTTGATCTTCTTTTCATAGCTGCTGCCAACAAATTAGCTTGATAAGTTGGAGAACCTATATCAGCACAAGCTTTGATATAATCTTCTATTCGGGCTCCTGCAGCTTTCAAAGGCTTTTAAACACGTGGACATTCAGTATTTGCATTATCATAAGCTAACATTTGTAACAACATGTCTCTTAAATCTGGATACGCTATTGTCTTAGAGTGTTTTGCAGTCTGGCAACAAAATCTACATTGGTTCATTGAGTCCCTGCTTGAGTTTGCTAAATGGCAGAGCAGGCTTTCTGGCTGCCTGTATCCTTTCCCACGCTTTCAGGCAGCACAAACGCACCTGCGTCACTGCTATGTTCTCCTATCTAGCCTGTCTTTAAAATTGTAACCATTCTCTTTGCCCCGCCAGTTATTCAGCGGTTACACGAACCCGGGAATTTTGTAAAGGTTGCAAAGCGAGAGTGATCAAATTACACAAGGACCAGATACAGGGATAACATCTCCTTGCCTATGAGCTTTTTAAAAGCCTCTTAACCATGCTATCCCAATCAGCTTGTTTAAGGGTGCCTTGTGGAGGAAGCTAATAGCAATGTTTTTTTATATATTTACGAAGTTGAGCAAAACCTTTCTTAGAGGTTTTCACTCCTGATGTTTTTAGGAGGGCACGGAGCAATTTTAAGTAATCCTCTGGTTTTGAAGCTTTAGTTTCATTGTGGCCCATTATAATGTCCCTGACTTCTCGATCCTGTTCCTACGTATGCTTTCTCGGGAATCTTACCGGATGAACGATCTTTGGAGCTTCTTCCCGCCCTTGAATTGCAAGTTCGCCGATTGGAGGTTCTCTGCCCTGAGTTTCGACCGTCTCTCAGGTCCCTGTTTGGGCGCCACTTGTCGACCTCCTCCCCGTCTCCAACCCACAGATAGAGGAGGCGACGCCATGAGATATTGAAGACCTGAGTAGGCCAGCCAGGGGACTCAAGGCATACTGTAAAGGAGTGTAGAGAGCATCAAGAGTCAGGAAAAAGAACTAATAACACTTAACCTGACTGCCTAGAGCAAGAGCCACCCAGTTTTTGTATAAACTACCCGAGGCTAAACTTAGAAATGTGCCTGCTTTAAGTTAGATAACTAGAAGTGGGCATCAGCCTGGGGAACGTGATCCGTGATAAGTCACGTAGACATGCTTGGGTGAGCAAGAGATAACAATAGAAGCGGTCAGGCAACTGGCATGTTCCCTAAAAGGTTACAATGTTTCCCATTGGTTACAATATAGAATGTGCTTTAAAATTATTGGTTGTAGAAATGCGCGGGCTTCGGTTTAACGGCTGTGAAAATCCTATATAAGCAATACCTAAAGTTGCCTGGGGGTCGGCAGCTCCGACTCGGCCTGCGTGTCAGGGGAGGTGCTGTCGGCCCCAGCTTGCTGGCTGAATAAAGACTTTGCTTGGATTTATATCTCCATGTCCGTGTGGCTTGTTCTCTGGGGAAACCCCGGAGTCCTGGACCCTAACAATACCAGCTCAAGAGTGGTGCTGAGAGGGCACCCCTTATATTTATTAGTCACACAAATACACCCAAGGACAGTTGGTGATCTCATGCATACAACCGTTGGCTTGTTGTGTTCTCAGTGCAGAACTCCCTCGCAGCTCTTCCCAGCACAGCACAATAGGGGAGAGAACAAAGTTGCAGAAACTGGCCTTGGACACAACATTCCTTTAAGGAACACATCACATTTCTCAAGGCACACATCACTGATTAGTAGAGAAAAACAGCTGAGTTATATATTTTGAGCCCACAGGTCAGGGTCAGGGGTTAGATTCAGTAGTTAGGGTCAGGGTCAGGGTCAGGGTCAGTGCTCAGCCCATGCCTTGGACTCTGTCTCTTGGCTTCCTCCCTCCCTGTTCTGTTACCCACCTCCCCAGCCTACCAAGAAAAGCCATAAAAGTGTGTTTTTAACTGACTTCACTGAACCAAGAGCTCCTGCTTTCTCTCCCAATTTCTTTGCCCTGTGGGGGCCCAGTCGCTCACCCTGCCCTGCTGCATGGAGACCAGTGGCTCCCACAGGCCCCACGCCTGCTGCTAATCTCTGTCCCTCCCTGTCTTGTCCCAGGCCAGATACACAGGCCTCATCTTCTTCCACGAAGGCTGGCTGCTATGCCTACACGAGAAGGTGGTGGTGCAGCTGGAGTCCCTCCGTGGAGTCAGGCTCAGGCCTGGGGACTTCTACCTGCAGGTCACATCAGTGGGGACGCAGTCAGCCAGGCTGGTCTTAAAATGCCTCTCCTGCCTGGGAAGAGGCTCAGAAGAAGTTACTGTCCCCAAGGCCATGTACAGATGCATCATCACTGGAGAGTTTCTGGAATGGGTCAACTGGGAGGGGAACAGTGTCCCCTTGCAAAACTGCTTGCTGACCTTGGGACTGGCCGCACCCCATGCAGCAATGTCACCGACCTCATCTTTGTGCCCACAACCTGGACAGTCCCACCTGCCTGCTCCAGCCACCCTGGGCCTGAGCAGCTGCCGCCTGGCAGCATCTCAGAGGCTCCTGCCCCAGCCCCAGCCCTGGCCAGGCCCTGCCCCCAGGGGACACCCCTGCCCCCGCCCCACTGCAGTGGGCATCCCAGCAGCGGCGAACCCAGCCGCATCCCTTACCCAAGGGAAAGCCTCAGGACTCCATCCGGGAGCTCTGATGGAGGCCTTGTAAGGGTCAGCCCCTCAGAGCAGGACCCCAAAGGTCCAGGAGGAGGGCTGGGCCCCACGGACAGGAATGATGGCCCCCAGGCCCTCACCCTCCTTGAGGACACAGACAACCCAAGCTCCGGAAGGCAGCCACTAGGGGACTCAGCTGGCATGGAAGCCGGATGCTGGTTCAGGAAGTCCTACGTGGAGGCCTTGCCCAACCCCGTGCCCTTGGGCACCAGCTCTGAGTCCCTTGGGGACAAGGCCTGGAGCTCCCAGACCAAGAGCCCTGATGCAGCAGCCAGCCTGACCCAGAAAGACACCTCGGCTCCTGGGGAGACCACTGGGAGACCCCGAGCCAAGAGAGCAGCCTAGGAGTCACCAGGAGGACCTTCCCAGGAGGTCTCAGTCTTGGGACAGGTCCCTCGGAAGCTCCCGAGGGGACACCGGGTGAGCTCCCAGGACTCAACCAGCGCCGGGCCCCTAGGTCTCTCAGGAGGGGAAGCTGTGGGGACCAGAAACGCAGGCTCCAGCCGCCCCTTGTGTGCCGCTGCAGAAGGTCCTGGATGCCCTGGAGAGGAAGGTAAACATCCCCTTTCCCTCCCTCACCCCTCCTGTCTCCCGCACCCCACCTCCACCCCCCCTCCACCCGGCCCACCTGCCCTGTCACATGTGCTGTGCTCCATGGACTAAGTAGATGCCTGTCTCTACTTCCATATCGACTGTTGAAAATAACATTCATGCGTGTCTATTCCTGGGGCTGCCACAACAAAGTACGGCACACGTGGTGGCTTAGGAACGAGGGATTTATACTCCCACAGTTCTAGAGGCCAGAAGTCTGACACAAGGTGCCACGGGCCCCAGAGGAGGGTCCTTCCTGCCTCTTCCAGCTGTGGGGGGCTTCAAGCGTCTCTGGGCTCTCAGTCCTGTGTCTCTGTCCTGCTCCTTTCTCTTATAAGGACACCTTTCTCTGGATGCAGGACGCTCCCTAAATGCCACTTACTCACATCTGCAAAGACCCTTTTCCAGATTCACACATCCTTTTGGGGCCTCCATTCTCCCCATGTGCTGCCTTTCATGCAGGTCCGTCAGGCATGACAGTCATCCTTACATAGTGCCAGGTCCTTGGTCACACATCTTGAAGGCCCCGTGACTTCCTGAAGGACTCCCTGTGCACTGGAATCCACTTTCCCGGACCGTCACTCTGGAGGGAGATGTGGTGGCTCCAGGGAGTGTTGTCAGGGCTTGAGGGAAAAATGACCATTTTTCTTCAGCCACATACTTCAAATATGTCCCTTTTGTAAGTAAAGAAGTGTTCTATGAAGAGCCAAAACTATGACTTTGGGATAGTGAAAGGTGGCCCAGTGCCTCAGGCCTTGAAAGCAAGCAGACAGAAGGGATTCTCTTGTGGCATCTGCACCTGCGGCACCTGGCTTGCCCACCTGGCCCCGTGACGGGGCTCCAACGGCGTCTACATCCCTGGGGTTTGCCTGCAGCTCCAGGTGGGCCTGCCTGCAGCACCCATAGGCAGGATCTCTCACTTCTGAAAGTTGGGTCTGCTGACAGGATCTGGGTGGCATAGACACAGGATGCAGCCCAAAAAGGGCCCTATGATAAAAGTCCTTGCTTAGGGTTCACACTTTTTAAAAACATTCTATTGCCTGACAGCAATCAATTAAAATTTAAATAAAGCAGTAACTCCCTGGCCATTGTTTCCAGGTCTTAAACTTATCTTTATGTTTATTTCCCTCCCTGTTTTTTGCATCAGGCAGAAAACACACAATCACACATGTGCACACATGTGTACACACACACACACACACACACACACACACACACACACTGGATGATGCAGTGAGAATGCACATCTGCAGCCTTCACCTCCAGTGTCAACATACAGTATAATCAATATGTTCCTCTCCATGGGGAAATGCCATCCTTGGACATTCAGGAACAGCATCCCTCAGGGTCACGGACCCTGGACGACAACCAGACAGCATGAGGTACTTGTGAAGGCGGCAGGCCTATTTTAAACAAACCAGCATCACTGAGTGGAAACTGGGCCTTAAACCCTCGGTGTAGAGTAATGCATCTCAAGATTCCAGGTCTTGTCATAGGGGATATTTGTCATTCCTCCTGGCCCCCGTGGGCCTTGCCTACAGCACATCCGGAAGCTGCAGTGAGACCTTCTCCTGTGTGGGAGGTGGGGAGCCCCCCTCTGAAGTAGGAGCTATAAACTTGAAGGGAGAGTGTGTCCTTCTCTCCATGAAGCCTCCCTCTTCAATGATTATGCAGAACTGCCCATCCGCATCCCAAGAGGGAGGAGGAAGACAGTGTGAGGAAGAGGAGGCTGCTCTACACCGCCACCCCAGAGGAGATGGCCAGTGGTACCAGAGGTCTGGGCAGAAAGGCAGATAACTGGTTATGCAACCAGTGGCCAGTGGATCATTGATACAGGCATTTCCCTCTGTCTCTGCTGCCTAGCAACACATACCTGTCCCTGGAGTCCAGTCTGTGGTACCTCAACTGGAACCCCCCTGACACCTACACTGACGAGTAACATTTAGCACATGCATCTTCTGCAGCAGCAGGTACAGCCTGTACCTGTCCCACCTGTCCCCCTCTGTCCCGCCTGTCCCCCTCGGTCCCACCTGTCCCCCTCTCTCCCACCTGCCCCTCCCTCCCACCTGTCCCCTCTGTCCCACCTGTCCCCCTCCTTCCCACCTGTCCCCTCTGTCCCATCTGTCCCCTCCCTCCCACCTGTCCCCCTCTGTCCCAGCTGTACCCCTCTGTCCCACCTTGTTCCAGCTCCTGAGACTTTGCTTTGTCTCTTCTTTGAACATAAATTTCTAATTTCAAAACTATAAATGTAAAATTTCAGAATTTATTTCAAGAATATTATACTCAGATTCATCAGTCATTCAACCAATGGTAACCAGGCAGCTGTCGCTTGATTAAGAGGTGCTTTTATCCCGGCCACATTAACACTGTGGCCCCCAGACCTCAGACCCACCTCACTAAATTCAGGAATAGCCTCCATGAGTGTGACATCTGTCCACTGCCCACGTGGGAAAGCTTGGGGCTCCCCGCAGGACTGGAACCCCAGGAGCCTGAAGAGTTTACCCATGCCGGTGATGTGGTCTAGAAAATATGTGAACACACATGAAAAAATCGCTCTTGGCGATATGTGTGATGGAGCCCATCAACTGGCAAAGGGACGGACCAAAAGTGGCTCATCACACGGTGGGGTGAGACCCCATGGACGTGGGAAGCTCCCCTGTGGGCAGTGCCAGGTAAGCTCCAGAGACAGTCCTGATGGGTGGAAAAAGCCAGACAGGAGGCCACTGAGTCTGGGGCCAGTTATGTGAATGGTCCTGAACAGGCGAACTTAGAGTAGGCCTGTGGGGGTGGCTGGGGGTGGGAGCACCCCAGGTGGGCACAAGGGGTCTTCTGGAGGTATGACAATGTCCCAAACTTGGTCTAGAGTGGTGGCTAGACCACCAGGTAAAGTTGCTAAAAACCTTTCAGCTGTACACTTGAAGTGGGTGAAGTTTATGATATGTAAAATATACCTTAATGAAGCTGGTTTTTATTTTTAAAAATTCTGTTGACTTTTGGCCCAGCTATAATGAGAAAGCCATTAGAACTGGGAAGTGCAGGCTTAGGGACAGGGGCGCACTCAGCCCTTCCTTACGGGGGCGACAACAACCCTGGAGGCCAGGGTGCTGGGTCTGCTTGCTATCTGTGACGAGGCACAGCCCCCTGAAGTGGGCTGCAGAGCAGTGCCCACCAGCCAGCCAGCGTCTTGGGGGGGCCACGGCTGGCCCCTCCAGAGTGACGTGTGAGGGTGAAGCAGAACCCACTGTTTTCCCATGTGATTTTCTCCTTGTCGGAGGCAGGCCACCAGAGAAATGCCCCCCTCCCCCAGCTGCTCCGCGTTGTACCTGCTGAGGCAGGTAGCCACAGAGAGCATGGCCCCAGCAGGCATCCGGATGTACTTGCAGAGCCACTGAGCCCCCAGGGGAAGAAGACCTGCCCACCCAGGTGCCCAGGCAGGCGCTGGAAATCAGCCAGGAGCCGCTGCAGTCTGGGGCGGTCAGCCTCCCAGGTGAATGCCAGGCTCTCCCCTGCTGGCAGGTCTCACATCTAAGCCAATACACAACAGTTTGCTGAGCTCAGGTCCTATGGGGCTGCCCCCTCTCACCATGCCCTCCGTTTCTGCAGGGTCCTGAGACCGTCAGGGGAGAGCAGTGGTGCAGGTCTGCCCCAGGGGCCCGCTCTGGTCCAGCAAACACGCCTCCAGCCCCGAGCTGGTCCACCTGCTGAAGTACCTCCATGGCATCCCCAGGTGGGACTGAGGCAGGTGCCCTCTTTTCAGACCTTTGAGGACAAACCCTCATGAGGCTTCCGTCTGAGACCTCAGGGTGCCCTGAGCATGGGCAGAGGCTCCCTCCTGCCCCGTGGGCTCCTGCTGTCTGGTCCCTCGCTGCTCCGCTGGCTGCATCTCCCACCTCTCCCCTCTTTTCCAGGTCCTCAGCAGTCCCCCCAACACCCCTTCCCTCTCACTTCTCTGACCTCCCCCCTCTGAATCAAGGCTCTGCCATGCACTCTGCCCTGAATTCTGCATCGCTCTGCATTATTAAATGGTTGTTCTGTGCGTCCTTTATTGACATGTTTTATACTCTAAAAAAAAATTTGAAGTGGCCTTGGATGAAGTCATGAGCTGATATAAACAGAATATTTAGAGTAAACAAGTGAAGGAATCATACACATAAGGTACCTAGAACCAGGAAAGGCCTAGTTGTGCTAACTGAGCCTTTGTTCAGATGGGCAGTGCCATATGCCAGAGAGAAAGCTGCCAGCTCCTTGCGACTCACCCTCCCTGGTATGGAACGCAGGAGGGTCCTGCAGAATGATTGCAGCGTGGAGCACATTCACTCAAGAAGCAGGCAACCCAGGGACCTTGCCTGAGGCTGTGACTTCATGTCTCTGTGGACAGAACCAGAGAGACCAGAGAGCCGGTGTCAAGGGCGGCTAAAATGTGTTATCTGAGGCCTCTTGATCCCATCAGATGCAGACAGCTTTAGACAGTCTTCAGGGCCTCCAGACCAACTCCCCATGGTGCAGGGTGCAGGTCGTCCCCAGGAAGGCGGTGTCACCCAGCGGAGGAGATCAGTCCTGAAATCAGCGGCCCTGCTCTGAATCCCAGCCCTGCCCTTGTTGGCTGGGTGGATGAGCACTTGAGAAGCCCCTTTCCTCTCCATAAACAGGATGCTAACAGCTGCCTCAAAGGTGTGTCAGTGGGAGCAGAAGTAATCTAAGCTCCCAGACTGAGGTCCAGAGCATCATCTTCCATGATGTATCGTGTGATGTGATCTCACTCAACAACAGTTACATGACACACACAAAGTAGTGTGATCTTGTGTGAGAACATGTTACATGGTATACCACCACACGTGCCCCATGACGTGAAGCAGGACGTGTACCCAGTGCCCCATCACGTGATCGCATGATGCGGGATGTGTACATGGTGCCCCATCACATAACATATGCAAGCTCTTGTTCAAGGTCATTTATGTGACTTACATCACATGATGGATCTCACATAGGAACATGTAACGTGATGTACCGTCACATGTGATCTCATGCTCTTTGTGGAGTTTCAACTTTCTACTGCAATTTCTTCTGAAACAGTATACGTAGAATCAGTGTGGGAACATTCAGGCAAATGCAGAATTGAAGAGTTCCCCTAATACTCCTTTCCCACAGCAGGTCTCAATGTCTGCAGGGCACTGATTTACTGCGTGCAGGAGCCTGGGATTTCAAACTTGTCCTTCAGCACAGGTTTCCAAATATAATAAAGCTACTCTGAAAAAATAGAGATTCATCCTCACATTACTTCGTAAGCCTAAAGTAAATGCCTGCAGCAGTGAATAAATCTGCCGGGGCTTTCCTGGCTCACTTCACCTTTTCAGAACACAAATCATGGCAAATAGTTTCTCAGTCCTCCACTTCTTCCCGTTCTCTGCAGATGGATCACTGGCTGCTCACCTCTCTCTACAGAATTAACACACTGTTTTCCTCCCAAAAGTAGCTCAGACTCCTCTCCTTCCTGTAATTGTGACTGTCTGTCGGACAAGGTCCACCTGCTCCAGGCTGGCCCCGGCCACCCGCAGCAACCGGTCCTCCTGTACTAGTGCTGGCTGGGGTGCAGGGCCAGTGCTGGGGCAAAGGGCCAGTGCCGGCCAGGGTGAAGGGCCCAGTGCTGGGGTGTGGGGCCAGTGCCTCTGGGATGCAGGGCCAGTGCCGGGGTAAGGGGCCAGTGCCGGTGGGGGGCAGGGCGCAGTTCCAGGCTGTGGAGTCAGGACCTACTGGGGTGCAGGGCTGGTGCCAGGTTAAGGGGCCAGTGCCAGCCTGGGTGCATGGCGCAGTGCCAAGGCGTGGGGACAGTGCCTGCTGGGCTGCAGGGCTGGTGCTGAGATAAGGGGCCAATGCCGGCCGGGGTGCAGGGCCCAGTGCCAGGGTAAGGGGCCAGTGCTGGCTGGGATACAGGGCCATTGCCAGGATAAGGGGCCAGTGTAGAGGTGCAGGGCTGGCCAGGGCATGGGACCTGGTGCTGGGACATGGGACCAGTGCCGGCCAGTGTGAAAGGCCAGTGCCAGCCAGGGTAAGAGGCCAGTGCCAGGGTGCAGAGCCAGTGCCGGCTGGGGTGTGGGCCTGAGCTCCAGGGGCTCCTTTCGAGTGTGATGTCGAGCGGACACCTGGCTCATCCTGCCCAACCCCGTGACTTGGGGGATGGGGGGCCATGTCAAACCCACCCAGGCACGATGCCTCACCAAGTGAAACTCAGCATCTGTTTGATGCAGAAGCTGGAAGCAAATGCTGAAAGTAGAAGAGGCACCAAGAAATGATCCTTGCGAGTCCACAGCTGGGAGACCTGAGGTGGCGCCCTGCAGCATGGCCGCTGCCCGCAGAGGAGCACGTCCCGGGTGTCTGGCTCATGATCTCGCAGGAGGGTTTCCTTGCTCACTTAACTTCATTCCGTTCACCTTCCGTCCATGCCCACAAAGGGACTCACACAACCATAGACTTGTCTCATTTGCTTTAAGTTTGAATCCCAGTCCGAGTCCAGTGCCTTAATAGTAATCACGGCTGCTAGTGTTCGCCCTTAGTAGTGGTCTGAGAAATTTACATAATTTCAAAACTTCGATAAAGTTGTCTTTATATGTCAATGCGGTGACTTCTGGAAAGCCCCGAGGTCCCTACAGGAGGAGTCCCCAGCCAGATCAGAGGGCTGGCTCTTTCCATCCCATCCCCTGAGGGGCTGGGGACTGAGATCAAACACCCGCAGCCCATGATTTAATCCATCATGACTGTGAGTTGGAACCTCCATAAAAACCCAAAAGGATGGGATTTGGGGAGCTTCTAGCTTGGGGAACACGTGGAGGAGCTGGGAGGTGGTGTGCTCGGTAAGGGGGTGGAGGCTCTGTGCCCTTTCCCTTACCTGGCGCCATGTATCTCTTCCACTTAGCCGTTACTCAGTTATATCCTTTTATAATAATCCAGTAATCTAGGAAGTGTGCTCATAAGTATACAAGTGTGGACATGTTGTGGGTGAAAGCACATAAATCAATTCTGTTATAATGTGACATAGGTGTTGCTAAAATTCACCAAGATGTGTAAAAGTCTACTGTAGAAACAGCAGGGCTTATCGGGAAATAGGGCTGGTGCTGTGACACTAAAACTCTTCACCAGTAACACACATTTAGACACGTTTAACAGTCAAGAAACACATAAATAGCACAATACACTTGGCTGCTGACCTCAGCAAAGACCTGAATGGAGTTAGATGTGGACACGCACACCAGTGACACCAGCTCCCGGAGGCCCACCCGGCCTGCTTCTGGGCCACCCTTTGCATGCAGGGTCGAGAGAGACAGAGGGAGAGCAGATGTGGAAAGCTCAGGAGGCTGGGGAGCGGGTGGAGCACAGGGGCAGGCACAGTGCCACAGCTCAGGTGTGGCCACTGAAGGGAGCCAGCTGCAAGTCACAGTGAGGAGTGAAGGAGGACTGCCACACGGACGGCCATGGCCATGCCAGGGGCCATGCTGCTCTCACTGTCCTGGGCATGTGTCAGGTATTCCCATATGCACCGTCCACCCAGGCTCATTTTTATATGTTCACCTAGGCTTTCTTTCTGACAAAGTCACACATAAGTCAACACAATTCACTTCACATAGCACAAGGAGCCAACGCCTCAGTTTGGATCTTAGATCTGCTGAGTTCTAGCTGTGTGACCTTGGGCAAGTCACTTCACCTCTCTGTGCTCAGCTTTCTTCTGTGCATCAGACAGGAACCCAACCAGGAAACCATGCTGAGGGGTTAAAGACAAAGGGGAGCTTTATGAAAGGACTTGGTTAAGTGGGTAATGGAGAGGCTGGAAAGCCAGCCGTTTGGGTGGCGAGGAACCCAGAGATGGTCAGCACAGGAAGCTGGGTCCGCCTGTGGCATGAGATCTGGGGCATGAAAGGAAGAGGCGATGATTACAGGAGCAGACTGTGGCCACAGGAGGGAATGTTCCGCCTGTGCTTGCAGCCCCTGGGGTCAGCCTGTACCAGGTGGGGAGCAGCACTGGGAAGGGGAAGGTGGGCACCTGTTGTGGTGTACAGGGTGGGCATCAGCACAGCACCTTCCCTAGGGCTTGCTGTAATCCTGAGGGTGTAATGCCAGGACAGGCAGCACTTCCTGAGCACCACTTCCAGTCTCCCTGGTGGTGTTCCCATCAGCACGACTGTTGCCTGCAGCACAGACTGTCCGAGGACAGGTTGGATAGGCTGCGCTGACACAGACTTTTGTTTTTTGCTGTTTTGACATAAAACGTCCTTGCTGGCCGCATCTGCACATCCACATTCCTTGGGTTTCAACTCTTTTGGTCCATCAAATGCCAAGAAAATTAGTTTCTATTGATATTAGTGCTTTGGGCATTAGGGAGATAATAGTCATAGAAACATTAGACAGACTGGGAATTGTTTCATTTCGTTTACTCGAGAAACTCCCACCCCTTGGGTTCTAAGGAAATCAAGGCATTAACCTGGAGTGAGCCAGGGTCGACTTGCTCTGCACAGTCACAGCCAACACCCTCTGTGATAGATGCACAGTAAAGTCCCAAAGAACCAGCAATGGATTCTTGGGGGTCAGGTTGGAAGTACCACTGATGCACCATGAAGTCCCAAACTTCATTGAAAATCATCCCCTCAGGTAACCAAGCAGAGACACTACATGTCACGAGTTCCAACTTTGTCCAGCTTCACATTTGCATTGCCAGCATATATATATATTCCATAACAGGAAAATGTTATTTGACCCACGTTGGCTCATTTCATCCTTGGAGACAACAGGTGACTTGGCAGCAAAGGATGAGTTTCCCTTTTAGTACGGATGAGAAGGCATAGCTCATGGGATGTAGAGAC